AACTTCCAGCCTTGAAGTCATCTGCATTTTTTAATATAGGTACAGGGCAAAAGCAGAGGTTTTTGCAATGGGATTTTCTCAAAGGCTGGGGTATATGCTTCTACAGATGCAAAATATGAACTGGAAGAAATAATACATAAAAACTTTTAAATCTAAAGCTTCTTCTGGTGAACAACAAACTTGCACTACTTGCCATTTTACCAGGAAATTTCCTTTATAGCAGAAAAGATGTAACATCTTCTCAATCAACGTGGTGTATAATGTAGACAATCTCGTGCGCTGGAACTCCGGACACCAAGCCACCACGTCCTGACAGGTTGATGGGATCACAGGATGGTTGAGGTTGGCAGGGAGCTCTGGAGGGCACCTCGTCCAACCCCCTGTTCAAGCTGGGCCACCTGAAGCCACTTGCCCAGGACCATGTCCAGATGGCTTTTGAGTATCTCCAAGGATGGAGACTCCAAAATCAAATGAAGGTTAAATACTTTCCAGCTGGAAGAAGATACCCAGGTCCACTGGAGATACCAAAACACTTCACTTCTAATGGCCTTCAACAAAATGAATTTTGCACACTTGCAGATGAAGGCATTACTGATACTGACCACAAACCCCTTGCCCTTGGAATACCCCGATACCCTTTCTGGATCTCTCAGAAAAAAAGAGGGAGTGAGGGAAGAAAAAGGGGTCCTTTCTCATGTAGGAAGCAAGCATATTCTTCTGATAGAAATTAATAGATGTGTAAAGTTCCGAAAGGTGCAGCAGGACCACGTACAAAACAGCTACCTATATAAACATTTCTTTTTGAATACCAATACACTTTGGCATCCAGGAAAATTGCTGAGCACTTTCCATACTTTAAATATAATTCCTATTGCTAATATGTCAAATCTCTGTGGAGCCGTCCTTGCTTACACAGTTTTAGAGAGTGACTAGAGATACCAAAAAATGATTTCCCAAAAGGTTTGTAAAACCATTACTTAAATTTAGGGCTCAGTTCAATAAAGAATTATGCTGTGTTAAGGTTTCTATGGAATTTAGTCATAAAAAGTTCAGACTGTACTAAAAACTAATTAATTCTGTGGTTTTGGTATTCATTGAAGCCTCCTTCCCCTGTGCACAAATAGCTAACATTACGCCCTGAAGGGTGTGCATGCCAAAAAGGTGGAAAAGGATATTCTGAGCTCAAAAGACTATAGCACAGTAGGTCTATTAAAAAAGGGAACTTTCTCAAATAGTTTGAAAGATAATAGAGCTGCCTGCAGGCAGCTTTAACTTGCATTCTGGTCAATTACAGGGATTTATGCAACTATTTATTACACTGGTTAAAATAAATACTCACCACATCAATCTGGGCTACATATGGTACCCATGTAGCATCTAGAGATGAAATATGCTCAAAAAGAAATGAACAACTCTTGCAGTACATACATTAAGCTTTTGTAGTGCCTTCCCATGCAAATATTTGACGTGTAAATAATGTTAGCAGTTACAAGGATTTTTCTGGGACTTCATAATGTTCCCCCAGATCACCTGAGATTCTTGAAGAGGTTGTTAAAAATAAGAAAAGATCTGACAAATGTTCAGCTGAAAAAATAAACCACCTGAGCTGAAGGCAGTGAAGGCACCAAAAGGGGAGGCATTTTTCTAGTGCATTGGTTCCATTTCTGCCACTAAACCCAAAGTCCTCCACTCACTGCAGCTCTTCGCAGGAAACATTTCTAACCTGCGTGTGGAGGAAGATCTTCCCCTGAACTGATCCTGACCCATACATTTGCTTCGTGCTGCCCACATTGTGCTGCTTGGATGTAGCCCAGAAATATTTTTGTTTGAATTGCAGCCTGGCTCCTCTAGCCATGAGAAAAATCTTTGACAAGTAACTTGTCTATTGAATTGAGCCCTTCTCTTCAAAGAAATAGGAATGTTAACCCCCCCACCCCCGCAAAAAAAAACCAAAAAGGAAGAAGCCACCACTGATTATCTTCATTTTAAAGAGTGAATTTGGGGGGGGAGGGGAAATAATGTTATTTTGCATTTCATACCAAGAATGCCAGCTGCCAGGAACATCAGATAGACAACGGGACGTATCCAATACTACTGCAAGCAACTGTGCTCGTAAAAAATATCTAAAAGGCAGCTTCTGGAAAAGGGGAAGCTTTAAATTACAGGTGAGAATTTTTTTTTTTTGCTATTTTTAGACAGTCTTTGTTTTAAAGTCATCTATTGGAAGCAAAATAACCAAACTGACTTGCACAACCGCACAATTATTTTTCTTTTTTCTCCCTTATGGCTGTATGTTTTCTCTGTTACATACCAAAGACCACTAGCACCACTAAAAGAGCTGAATGCAATTCCTTAAATAATTCATGTGACAGATTGCTTGCTTGCATCTCAAGTTCCTTGAGATTTGGTATTTTTTAAAAAATAAAATTGGTGCTCTGCACAGATTAGAAAATTTACTATCACCTAAGGACCTTTACTAGCCAGCTTCTTCCGTATTTGTTTTTAATAGTAGGGCAAAACATAAAAAGCTTAAACACTTGACAAAATACACCAGTCAGAAATACTGCCACAGGCTGTTAGAATATTTCTTGCATACTGGCAAAATGTGGCTTGCAAGGCAGCGAGCTATCTTTTTTCAGATAGAAGAGAAGCTGCTTTTTTTCAGAAGGCTCACAAGATAGCAATTAAAAAAAAGCCAAAATACTAGCTTACTTTCATGAATCCAGTCCTTATTTTCCTATCTATGGTTACGTACCCAAATATTGGTGTATATGTAACTTCCTTCCCTCTGTGAAATCATTTGAAAGGAACTGGTATACAACTTTAAAAAAAAAAAAAAAAAGGCCCAGCAGTTTTGGTATTTTTTCCAACAAATCTTTGCAGACATTGCATTTGCATTAGCAGTAAAAATATTGCAATAAATCTTCACCTCACAAAGCTTTCTGTAACCATCTGTCAGGAAATCTGTATTAGCCTGGCGTAAGCATCACTTCACGTATACTTTTTTTTCTTACTCTAAGGTTAAAAAATTTGTTCTAACGATGATGTGAACTCATTTCGTTAGACAGAAATTGGGAAGATGTGCAGAATGCACCCAGGGCTGTTCAGCTAATACACTGCAGGGTAAGGCTTTTAACCAACATCTGATTTACGGCGATCGGCTGTCTCGATCCTGGCAAGCTGCATATCCGAACCCTCCCACGGCACAATTTCAAGACGTTTGCCACCGCTGGCAGGACCAAGGGTGGTTCTAATTCACGGGGCAGGAGAGGAACAGGCTCCTCAGCCCTGCGGCATCCCCTCCATCAGCGCAACCCCCGGCCGCGTCGGCTGGAAACCCACTGCCCTCAGCCTCCACGGAGCCCCCAGCCCGACAGGAAATTACGGTGCCGATGGTTTCTGGTTTTCTACAGTGACATCAAACATTTATAGTGACACATGTAAGAATATATTATATATTTATATAAATATATAAAATATTTATATAAAATATATAAATAAATACATATACAAAATATGGCATTACTTTCCAGAGCGATGTTACATTTCACAGGCCACCTTTCCTTATCCAGATTTCATTGTCATACAGAATTTATCATGAAGTTCAGTAAACAATCAGCCTCAAAAAAAAAAAAAAAAATGCTGCCAAAGTCTTCCTTATGTGAAAGCATCACGTACCAGAACAAAACCAAACCACTTCTCTTCCAATTAAGAGGATACATAACATCATGGCAGACAGTTGGGTTAAATATTTAAACCCAATGGTTCTTACTCTATGCTTAGATGCAGGCAAATAATTTCCACCGAAGTCAAAGCAAGCAACAATTGTGTGTAGCGTAAATGAAGCACATGGGTCTCAACACCCAGGTCCACGATCCCCCATCATGTCAGCACTGTTTTAAACAGGAGCTCCTCGTACAGCGTATGTGCTTTGGTAGAGTGTACCAAGACAACACAGAATAGATACAGCTTTTCAAAATAAACAAGCAAGTAGAAAGGGTGGTAGTGTAATGGCAATTTTTTGTCCATGAATATTCTATATTAGTGTGAGCAGGAAACGGAGGAAATGTAAGCCCTGTTGCACAAACTGAAGCGAAGGACAGACAGAAGAATGCTTTACCGAGAGCTTCAGTGCAACTGTTATCATTTCCAGTGGCATATTTCAGTGATGGGTACATTAGAAATACCAATAAAACAATAATAAAAAAATTAAAAGAAGAAGATTATCTTGGTATTTGTAGTTACTTCAAATAACAAAACTTAATCTCTTCTGGAAACAATTCCTTCGCTCCACAAATTCATTTCTACTGTCTAGAATAGGTCAGTGTGTATGCATATGGATCTATACATATTTGTAAATCATTCCGTAGCCTTACTTTCTCTTTGCATACAGAAGTATACACTAGAATTATTGTGTAGTATTTGGTATTCACATGTTACATTTAAATAAAGTTTATTAAAAAACAATTATATTAAATACAGACTAACAGAATATTCATAATATATTTTACAGAAAAAATAGCCATGTCTTTTATTTTAGAAATAGGTTTCTTTAAAAAGTTCTTTGAGATTTTTATAAAACTTTTTACCCGTGAAGATAAGTTTCCCGTCAGACCTGTAAAAAAAGATTAACCTTTAAATCTTTGTGTGGTTTTTTTTTGTGGTGGTTTTTTTTTCTTTAATGCTTTTACAAGCTTACACCCTATAAATTCTTTAAAATAAAACCCCAGTATCTTTCGGGATCAAATTGGTCACAGGCCGTTCTCTAAAAAGTCAGTGGAGACTCCCTGAATCCGTTCCGAAGTGCCTCGTGTTTTCCCTCTCTCCGGGTATCCATAGTGCAGGTTCACGTGGGAATTCGGAGCTCCCCGGGCGTCCCGCGGGACGCGGAGCTCGAGGTCCCCCGCGCCGCGCAGCCCGCGGCCTCTGCCCAGCCCCGCTGGGGTCTCCGCCGGGTCCCGCGGCCGCGCGCGGGAGCCCGAAGAGCTGGCGCCCGCTCCTCACTTGCTTTCCAGGTTGTAGCAGTGGACGTCTCCCTTCCCCTTCCCGTCGTAGCCGGGAAGCGGCTGTCCGTACTTATCCACGCACCAGCAGTATCCCCTCTTTCGGCCTTTGGATGGGCGACACTGAAAGAGAAGGGAAGACCCCGTTGGCACCATTTCTGCTCTCTCCGCTCTTGGCGCTGCAGAGCGGGGGTTCCTGCTCGTTTGGTGGCTGCATTTCCACACCCTGGCCATACCTGACGGAATCAGAGCATTTATTACCACTCCAAAGGATTACAGTAAAAGCTGACCGCCTCTGCCCATCAACCCCTTTGGGTCTAATGACTCCTCAACGAAACGGCTCCGAAAACTCCCGGAAAACAGCCTTATGAACCACCCCCTATTATATTAGGCGGCTCAGTCGCCCCCTTTGAACACCAGGACTGCTTACGACAGTACGGGCAGACGACTGGGACCCGTCCTTGGAAAAGAAAGTTAACAGATTTGTTCCACGCTAAAGCGCAGGTCCGCAAAGACAGCCATTGCGGCGGTGAACACCCTTGGCTTGCATCTGTTTGCTGGAGGAATTTCAATACTGTAGTTGACATTTATTAGCAGATACATAATCCTTCTGTAGGGGAGTTATCACTTCAACAACTGCTAGGTGTACCAGAACTTTACGTGTATATTTTCCTATAAATAATATATAGGATATATACTAGTCTATAACCTATGTCAGCTTTAGCAGTTGCCTGGTGGAATTTGCCAGCAATGCTGACCAACCTGAAACTACCACAGGCAATGACACTGAACCTCTTTAGAAATAGCGATGCAGTAAAAATGCATTATGAAGTCTAGTATGTACTAAGTCATGCTCTCCCCAAGGAACCAAGAACGGTAGAAACTAGACTAAAGGAGATGACATGCTGCAGGTTGCATTCAGTAGGGAGCCCTGGACACAGTTATGTACTGTGAACCCCTGGGACCCCGGCAAGGCTTTCGCCCACTCAAAAGACACGTGCCTCCAGGACACAGATTACTTCACTAGGTTTGCCACGGTCAACCTCATTGCCAAGACGCAGCCTCCACGTCAGCTCAAGTTTTGAGATTTGGTGATACGCGTCTCGCTGCAAATGCTAAGAGAGGTGGCTGTTTAGTCAGGACAGACTTACAAAGGAGGCAGTGACACAAACACACGTAGCGTTTCAAAGGCTGAGGTTTCACCTGTTGCATCGCCAACACGAAGGAAGATAGGCTAGACTGAAGCCACTCACAGCACTCAACACTCTGAGGGCTACCTATCTATCATGCAAGCAGAGCAAATGCTGCCTCTGAGACCTCACAGCAATTCCGAGTATTTCAGAGGTTCAGGCTGGCGCAAGTCAGGTAAACTTTGCCGCTACCGCTCAGCTGCTTGTTCTGCAGAGTCTAGCAGGCACGTCCCCATCTCCCACGTGGGTACGGCAGTGGCTCACAAAGCTAAGTGTCTCTTCCACGTGCAGGTACACAAGGACACATCAAGCAAGTGTTGGGCTTCACGTGCTGCCCAAAAGCGCCTGGCCCTTTTCACGTCTAGTTTAGGACCTCGGGCCCAAGGGTGGTATTTGGGACAGAACCGTGAAGACGGGTCACTCCTGGGACAGCCTGCACCAGCACATCGGCCTCCGAGCCAACTAATTTGTGGCAGCATGGAGCAGGGCAGAGTTTTCTCTAGGAACTTGGGAAAGAGACATGGGAGCAGATCACACGTTAGACACAAACTTCTGAACAAGTTTCCATCTTGTTTATTTTATATTAGAGTAAATCAAGTGATATTAGTCACTGTAACTGCAAATTAATCTACCACTGTGATATCTTTTTGAGTAACAAGCCCAGCGCAGAAATAACACGATGCCTTCTCTTCCCTGAATTTGCAGTCCTGCTGCATTAGCCCTATGCAAACGGATGGCAGCAGGATGACAAGATCAAGCTTAAAGTAGGTATCAGCTTATTTTAGGAGAAGGTGAAGAAGTTCAAACCTACTGAGAGAACAGCTATATTAATAATTTGCTAAGCTACGTGGTTAGCTGCATTTGAGTTCCAGTCACCTGTTCAGCTGGTTTTCGGCACTAAATCTTTAAACGTTAAGCTCTACAACTTATGTTTATTGTCTCAAAAGCCTGACCAGGGCTTGTCCACATTCTCCAGGACTTCCACGAATGGCTGCTCAAAGTCCACTGATGTCATTGGGAAATTTTCCTTCAACTTTGGTGGCAACTGGACTGGACTCTAGCTTGAGTGGTATTAACATTTAGTGACTTATATTCGTCATGCTCAAAACTGAGGAATTCATAAACAGCAGCCTTTGCACAACTGAAAATTTACAGAAAAGGAAACTGAGGCAGCAGTTCTCGAGTTGTTTTTCCCAAGAGAGCAGGCACAGATGGAGCACGAATTAGAGCACAGGGCTTCTGGCTGCCAGCCTGGTGCTCCGGCAATGAAACTACACTTCTGCTAATAATAGTAACGCAGCCTCCCCTTTTAGAAGTACTATATGAAGTATGTTACACAACTCTCGCTGATTCATAGGCTTGCATCACTCTCAAAACAAATGATCAATTAAAGTTATCTCATGTTGTTGGAGGTTTTGACTGCTTTTTACAGTTGCAAAACCAATTTTCAGAATTAACTACAACATTAAGTTAAGTCTGCAGGAACACCTTCCCTACTACTAATATTTTTTTTATTTCTTCTAGACAACCCATTTGGAAAACAAAATGCTTAGATCATTCTACAGCTGAAATAACGCTCTGTGAGGAAAACAATTTACCTTTTCCAATCTGCGATTTTGTACTACCCTCTCAGGCATGCTGTCAATAATAAAGGACTTCTGATTCAAAAGTCATGCTTTTATCCTGAAGCAGCTTTCTTGCATCCCCTACATAAGTGGTGGATGTAAGTTCATATAGAAAAAATATACATATAAATATCCGCTCTTCTGAATTTTGTACTCCACATACATTTCAAGGCTCTGCCCGGCTCTTCCATATGACTTCAGAAGTCCAAAAAGCTGGAAAACTGCCCAAGCGGTGGAGCCAGTAATTACTTCTGATAGAAACACCAGCTGCCAGCTTCCATGCCACCTGCCCCTCTCCCTTCCACAAAGAAGTGCCGCAGAGGCATTCGTGGGGCGCAGCAAAGCATATGGCATCCCACTGAATTCCTGGTCAGGCCAGAGGTCTCCGTGGAGCTGCAGCCCTGGTCTCCCAGAACAGACTGCAGACAGCACTGACATACACCGCGAGCCATTCTGGCTCCCGCCAAGCCCAACTCTGTTTTCAGTGGAATGATGCCAGCTCACATTTAGGCGAGTATCTGGCTCCGGTACACAAATATGGGGCAATTCTAGTAATTGCCCCATATAATAATTCTAATTTCATCAAAACCTTTTTTTCCATGCTCGAGGCAGAAACGTGCCTGTATCAACCTATTCCATGTAAATATACCTATATGCCACAGTTGAATAGTACGGCCTTTCATGTGTGATTTATTAAGACAAAGAATTCTAAATTTTAATAGGTCTGATTTTAAAAAAGTTTATATATAAACACAAGGCGTGAAGTATTTTTCACGTTATACCCTGAGAGGTAAATTTACGTTCTTAAAATTGTTTCACATATGCAAATTATTCCCTATGGTTGTTCCTGAAAAGTCAATTTCTAGTTATCTACAAAAGTCTTGAAAAATAACTGCTTTTAACTTGACTGGAAGAGCAGGTGACCAGGAAGGCAGAATATAGCAACATGTGAAGTGCCTCCTGAATGAGTTTTAGTGATTTCCAGGGGGATGATTCCTACCATCACACACCTATCTGTGTTATCATCCTAGGCAGTGGTTTTGGCAGCTGTTTCCAGAATTAAAAATGCCTAGCTCACGCTCATTTTTTGATGGATTCACTGTATGTTTCCTAACATGTTATCCTGAATTTTGTTGTCACAACAGAATATAATTGAATTACAGATTGAATGCTGCTAATACTAGCAATGAAGGAAATTCACAAAATAGCCTAACATTCTGTTCATGAGATTAGACACCTGCTCACAGCGCCTGAAACATCAGACCTGCACGTTGGTACTCCAAAAAGAAAACCAGACACACACAACTGTCGCATTGCCTTGTGGACAGTGAAATCAGTCTGGAGCGGACTCACTTCTCAAACCAATGCGTTTTTTTAGGAGTTAGTCTACAAGGGCAACTCAACTCAAATACGCTACTTCTGGTTCGTATTCTGTTCGTGTGAGAAGCAGCCTGGCTCTGTAACCCCCACCTGTGAGGTTCGGTTCCAGGAGAAGCACTCCAGCTGCACTTCATGTAGAACATTTACCCACATGGGCTCCATCCGTGGGCATCTCCTACAGGATCCTGAGTTGTCTCAAACTACCGCTGAAGCTGCTGGACCTGCGTGAATTGGCACGGCGTCTGACAAGGCTGGCCAGCCACGGAAGTGCCCCTTCGCCCTCTCCGTTTGCCGACCCATCGCGCAGGAACCTCCTACGGCGCTCCGAAAGCCTCCAGGCAGCACGGACACGACGCAGAGGGCAGAAGCGTCTTTGCTCCGTACCAACACCTCATTCTCGTAAATCAACTTCTAGTAACAAAGACCAGGTAAGCGTATCATCTGTCTTTCCTTTTTTTTTGACTCTGTATTTCGTTTTTTTCTGCCTCAGCGGCAGGACTATGACTGCACTTTCAAGTACAGTCATCCTTTCAAGTAAGGCACTTTAATACGTGCTTACTGTGGATCTAATTTCTACATACACATGCTAGAGACAGCGTGCAAACCACCACCCTTTTTTGCTGACGAAGCAAAAACCTCAGAGGCTGCAGAGAGATGAAAGCAAGATCTACTGAACAAAGTAAATACCAACCTGCCGTCTTCTGTAACCCCTAGAGAAGCAAAAGGGCTACAAAACGCTCACGTGACTTGAATGCAGTTAAATGATGTGCTGTTCTAGAGTAACTAAGCAAATGTTTTCATGGCACGGGCGCAAAACACAGCCCTAGCCTCACTCCACGTGGCAGTCCAATGCATTTTCTGAACAAACGCAGCCCGAGATGCGAGCACTGCTCTCTGCTAGTTTACGCGCGGCCGGAGAGGAACGACACGGACTTTTCCCAAGACTCCAGACGACAAGAAGAAACTCCGTCCCTGCTCGGGAAAAGCTGGGGAGCGTAGACGCGCTCAGCAGCGTGCAGCGAAGGTCAACCAGCGCAGTCGGCGCTGGGCTGACGGCAGGAGGGAAGGCTGGAAACCTCAGCCCTACTGCAAACGCCCCGCCTGACACCGCCGGCTTAACGCTGAACTCCAGGGAGCACCCGACAGGGAAGGACTGTTTCTAAGAAAGCTGGAAGCCAAAAACCGGAGAGATGCCATTCCTGACATAAGGCTGCCTGGTCAGAGGTTGGCCTCTCACTTCTGACCCATGAACTGCATCAGCACCAGTAACACGGGGTCAACCGCTCCTTTGGCCGGTTACCAGAGGGAGAGCGGCCGACTCGTGTAAACCCAAACGGGAGAGACGAGACCGTCCGCAAACAAAATCTGGCCTTACAGAGGGTTTGCCTTGAGGAAAATCTTCAACTTTTGAATTCAGGAAATTTTGGAATTACGCGTTTGGAGGCAGGTCACTAACTAAACCCTGGAATTAGGTGGGATGTGCACACTAAGCAAAGAACGTGGCACGTCTTGCCCTTCCCCTGGTTTCTGAACGAGCTTCGGGGCAGCACCGAACGGAGGATGCTGCCGTAGCTCAACCCGCACGCACAACTAAAGCATAAATACCTGCAGTTTAGGTCTGCATTTGTCAAGAAAGGTCACAACCCCAGAACCAAAGAGGGCTGAGAAGCCATCCTTGCTGCAGAGTAACTACTAGATGTATCACTTTCACGATAACATGACCTGGATTTGGGAAGTGATCTGTGTAGCACATAAAGGACAGATATATACCTTTCTCAAGTTGCTTTTTGTAATGTGATCCAGCGCAGTTCTTCTAGGAACTCTCAAGCAGCTATTTACAATTCAAAGCATTGATCTATTGCAGTCATATGGTGACTGCAACATTTAGCTCTGTGGGTTATGACAGAGGCACTGCTTTTTTTAAACCAAAGGGCATTAGTATCTAGGACACCAGCCAACCCATGTGTGATTAGGTATGAAGTTTCTTAAATGAATCTGTTGTCATGACCAACAGAAAATAAAAACACTGTCCCCACTTGACAAGGTTCAGCACTATCAGACGAGGTTCTAAAACTAGTTCCTCTGTAAAATGACAGACAATGCACCTTGCTGGCAAGATTGTTCAGCAAAGATGCAGAAAAGGTGAAGTGCATTCACTGAAATGATCGGGAGACTGTACTTACTTGCTTTTTCTTGTAGAACCCCTTCTTGTCACAATTGGGAATATGAAAGCCCCTGGGACTCAAGACGTTCAGGATCTTTAGGTGGTTTAAAGTGTCTTCCATTTCTCTACGACAGGGACCCTGTTAACAAGCATATTTTAGAAAACACAGATGAAACGTCATTCCCAAATGCCGTCTTTCACACAAGAGTTAATAAATCTTTAAAGGGCAAGAAGCACAAACCCAAGCAAATCCATTAAAACAAAGGGATGGCTGGATATGTCAAAAGGCAGACCATTCACAGATAAAATTCTGACTTTCTGCTTTACCGATTTCTAAACACTGAAGGCCTTATGCTATGCTGAGGCACGGACTGGCATTTCCAGTCAAAATCACAGCCACGCGTACCTACGGGAAGGCTTAACCAGTATGTAAATCAATCATACGTAACATAACTTCGGTTTGGAAAAGCTGGACTGGCACCAAGCAGGGAAAGAAGAAGGTAGGCAACTGGAACTACACCACTTGGTAGATCTTCCCTAATGCCATTTGATTCTTGTGATTCTGCTGGATTTGAAAGCATAAATGAAATGGATTTAATTGAAAACAAGTAGTTTGGCATAATGTATACGTATATATAAAAATACTGCAACTTTGGACAACAATGCCCAATTTCAACCGGACCAAACGGACGCAGCCGTGCAAGGAATGGTTGCACACAACAGTCTCATTAGATAAGTATGTCACTTTTTGCCTCACTTTCTCCACCTGCGAAAGGCTGACAACGATGCAGTGAGGATTAGCTCTAGGACAATGAGCCAAAAAGAACTTCCAGAAGCACTTTTAAGAGCATGTCTCAAACGCCAACTAATTATGTCTCACTGCAGCCCTTCAGGGTAGGGAGTAAAGCATTACGAGCTCCACTTTGCAGTCAGAAAACCAGGAGCGGAGGAGTTCACGGTTTGCCAGGGGCCAAGAAGACAGGCGGCGTCAGCAGCGGGATTGGGATTCGAGTCGCAGCTACAAACTCTGTCCCTAGCTACGCTCCTGTCTGGGCACATTACGGACTCAGTCCACCAGCCCGCTTCTTCAGCGGAGGCCTGAAAAATTCCTTTGCATGGTTGCAGGGGTTTAATACGTTTTAAGTTGCTGTATCAACACAAAGATTCACTTGGTGCAATTTTTAATTAGTGAGGTAATGACATTTATACTTTCAAGTGGTAATACTAATAGTTTGCTCATGTAAAGTGCCTTTCATGTGAGTGTCTGAAAGCATACAGACTCCACAGTTCTACTGGAGTTTAGAACTGATTTTTTTGGTTAGCAAAGACCTTCCTTGCTGCTTTCGTATGTTTTCTTTCCGTGTCAACCTCACAAGCTCTAAACATGCGCTTTAAATTGCTGCTCTTATTGGCAGTTCCTTAAAAACCCGAAACTGCTCAGACACGCTGAAAGCGAATCACGCACGTTCAAGTACCTGGTCCTGAGTCAGGCCTACAAAAAGATCAAACAGCTTTTTTTCCTCTCTCCAAAGTCACAGAAAGCAATATCAAAAGCTAAGATACAGACACAGCTAGAAGGGCATTCGCTGACGAGGGCACCTGTCCCCGGTGGACTTATTTCTGGTTCTTATGGAGACCAGCAGCCTTGGTAAGTCTTTGCTCATGGGGCCCAACTACTGCGTAAGCGAAACGTTCATCCTGGTCAAGACCAGGACCCGATTTCCTCAGAGCTACCCGAGGTCATTCTTTTACTGCAGGCAGTTTACTTCACGTTTTCGGGAGAAGGACATGCTGGAAGGCAGACACTGAAGTGTTTTTACTAGATGGGCTGGACATCAGTCACAAACTAAGCTGCGCTAACTTGGAGGCCACGCTTTCTTCAGACACAACTTTCCACCTCATGCAGGTTTCAAAACCGCCTTTTGCAGATGGGAAGCCACATCTGGTTTCACCACGACGGTTCCGATGACACGTCGAAGCACATCCAGACGTATTTTTTAGGCCGTCTGGCAGAGGCACAAGGACAACCACCGGGTTATCAGGAAGAAGCGTTATTCTGTTTGCAACCAAATTTAACGATGGCACTATTAAACCTGTCCCAAGTCCGCTCACAGAAACGTGTGATAATTACAGGGGGGAACAAGAACTTTGGATCTCTTAGTGAAAATCACACTTGCATCAACGTAAACATCATTGTGTTAGGCCTCCGTGTTTTCTGAACGTGGTCTGCTCAGTCTGCTGATTGTCTGCATTTGCAGAGCCAATAGTTTTACCAGTTAAACAGCGGGAATGCCCTAAATGGCTACAACAATTACCACCATTTAGTTATTTAATGTACTTATCTTCTCGTACGCACAACACGCATATACATACACATGCATGCACACGCTCGCATGCTGGGAAATGCCCTTCCATTTACAAAAGTACTCACGTATTCAGTCTCTTGTTTGGATTCAGAAGAGAAATTCAGTGTATCCGTACTCTGCGAATCATATTCTACTTTATAGCGCTGCGTGTTTTTGGCTTGCACTTTCCTGATGATATCTATTTTGATGTGCGGTGGATGCAGTTTGGAATCTGGCACCCTGTGGGAGTTCGGGATGGCCTGATTTTCCATGCTGCTGGTACTCCGGTCTTCTTCTTCTGAATCACTGGAATTTCCTTCGAGAAGAACAAATGCAGCGAAGAAATAATGTTAATCAACTGCCAGCTGCGTCCGGAAGGGCAACAAGCCTCCAGACGAGTTTACGAGCTTAATTTTCCTTCACAAACCAGCGATATATGAAAGGACGAACAACTCGGCGTTCCGCATGCATCCGTGCCTTTGCTGCCGAGCGATGCCCTTTCGTAACTGAAGCATCCCCTTGCTCCCGGCAGCCTCGCGAGGCACCCCACCGCCCCGTCCCCGCAGGCTGCCCGACACCCGAAAACCGGCCACCTCCACTCGGCTGCCGGCCACCACCATCCCAGCTTCTCGCCCCGCGGCGCCCGCCGCAGCCCCACTGGCTGCCGACCCACGGCCGGCTCCGTCAACTTCAGCTGGACGCGGCTGCGTGGGTAACTTCTGGGCTGTGGTGTGACTCCGTCTTCCCCAGGATGGTGATTTTTTTTTTTTAAAAGAGGCGTTCGTACAACAAATTCTACCACGCTAAGTTTCACGGTTCTAGGTAGCTATTTTTAATACTTTTTCCTTCTTAATTTTATTCAACATGCAGAACAGGGAAGGAAAGAAATAGCACGTCTTCATTCTTCTGCTGTTAAAATCAGAAACATTTCTAAGTGTACAAAAAGCACTTTAAAGGTAATGGACAAAAAAATGCCATTCATTCTGCAATGGTGTCAAAGGACAAACATCTGCTTTCATCACAAGCTTCAAAAATATTTTCTCTTTAAACTACCATCCACAAAAATACAGGAGAAGCACATTTTTCCAAAATACTGCATAAGCCCAGTGTTCCTGTACCTCCTGAGGTATTTGTCTACACTGCATTTCTCCCTCTGAGGAGACTCCTGCAGTGTAACTGTAACTGGCTGCGTTTCCTCCGGGGAATTTTTCGAGTTTGGATATTACTATCAGCTAAGTAGCTAAGTCCCACGAGTCGCTGCCTTGGCTGCTGGCCACTTTTTTTTTTAAAGGAAATCATATTGGGAGTGCACAATGATAACCAATATGCAGGGAACATCCTGGAAATCTGTATTAAAATCGTACTTGATGGCTCACTGAAAAACCACAAAAGCCAAGAAATTCGGTGCTAACCCTGAAAGCCCACGTTCACATAGCCCATTGACTCTAAATTCTTCCCCACAGGCAGCAGTACAGTGGCACTGCCAATACACAGGAACAGGGGAGGAACACGAGGAGGAGGAGGAGGGATGCGAGCTGACATCCTGGGACTGGCGGTTTTAGTGTAGCCACTGCTGGCAATGGACATAATTGACCAGGAAAATCCAACTCCCAGTGCAAATGGATTAAGGAAGTTTAAGTCTTAAGTCTAAATTTCCTGGCTTTTGTGGGTTTAACTCAGACTCTCAGCGGTATTTGAACATATTTCTGGTGGTTTAATGTCCTGTTTTTAAACAGTGGTATTTTTTTTTCCACATTCTCAGTGAAGTTTGCAAGAAATGACACAATAAAATGCTATAAACCTGAATCTCCTAAATATAAACACTACGCCTGCCAGGTTTTCTGCAGTAAGTGCAGTCCGTTAGTTTGCCTCCTCTACCAAAAAATAAGTAGAAAATCCTCTTAATGTGCATTAAATAATTACCAGGCTGGTCATTTCAGTTTAGATAGACCATCACGTTTCAATAGCACTTCTTACACTTCGATTTGGAACGGTCGTAATGCCACATTTTCAACTGCGAAGCGTATTCGATTAACTCCGTTTCGCAAAACTTGGTGCCATGTCAGCTTGACACCCTCGTAACAGAAACTAAACTGCTGTGAGAGTTCCTTGCTCTCTTTTAAAAAACAGCTTAGAAGGGTTGCGCATGCACACTACTACTTAACACTTCTGTGCCCCCAAAAAACTGAACTGGAAAGTAAGTCAGCGGCCTACTACAGCTGCTCTTGAGGAGGTGCTGTAATATACACCACCCCGCAGCGATTTCCAGCCATTTCTGCCAACTAGGAACGACCAAAAGCGTAGCACGAGGCGGGCCCTAGCCGTCCGTACGGGAGACGATGCGCTCCTGCGCGGGGAGGGGGTGTCCCAGGGAGCGCGGGATTTGGAGGAGCGGTCCGACCCCACGAGGACGTGGGCACTACGGGTCGCACGGGTTCAGCCAACTTCTTCCTTCTCGCACCCCAGGTCTGCAGCCCTCACCCCCTGAATGTGAACTGTGAGGGTCCTACTTTTGCACTTTTTAAGGAATCAAAGCTCCTACTGATTTCAAAATGGGGAGTTCTCCCTCAGCCAGGAATGCAGAAACAGGAACTCGGCAATATGACTATTTAGGCGGCAAATGGAAAGATTTTCGGCAAAGCGCACCTCCATCTTCCCCTTTCGCCTTCTCTAACGGCCACCGTTAAAAGCGCTACCCCTCCACTGAACAGCACCGACCCTCAACAGCCAGACCTGGCCCCTCGCCTCCAGCTCGTGCGAAGGATGAGTACCCAAAGTTGATGGGATGAAGGAAGCCGCTCCATGTTCCAATGAGATTTAAAACTTCAGCGAGTACCCCTGCACCGTCATTCAAATTGTCACAGCCTGGGTGCAGGACATAAATAATTGTAATAAGGCATCGCCTACTCTCGTAGCAGCCTGTTAGCCGGAGCACTGGTGCCACTTCCTCGGCTAAGGAGAGGCCAGCCAAAGAGCCCCTGCAACCCAGCAGAAAAACTGGCCTTTTAAAAATGCAAACAGTGCAGAGCCTTTTGACACACTTTTCTATTAAACAGATGTTAACATACTTGCTGCTGGTCAGCAAACAGTTTAATGAAACGTTTGCACAGAGGGGCTGTGCTCTCTTGATCTGAATCCCAAGTTTCCCTGTCTTAAGTTTCCAAATGTGCGTGCTAACAGAACTTTTTCCAGCCGTCCCTTCCTCTTCAAACAAAACAAAACCCGCTCTGTGAACCTCTCCTTCGCAAGACGCGCAAGAGCTACGGGAAAGC